GCCTCGTGACAAATAAGGAGGTTAATACTTTCATTATTGTTGGTTAGGAGTTAAGTACGAGGCTTATTGAGTTAGAATTAAGGTAAGGAATGCTTTTGTTTTTGTTGTTTGTATAGAGGTTCTGCATGATTTGTTCTTTTTATGGAATGGTGCCGATCTAACATCGGTATAAGTGGCTATTGTTAAGTAGTCTGTGGTTTTAATGCTTGCTATCCAAACTTGAAACTAGTGTAGGATTTGACTTTTTATTCTTTTGTTTTTATTTGTTGAAAAATTTAGTCTAAGATTGGTTAGCTAATAGATGATTGAAATAACCTCATATAATTTGGGGTTGGATGCAATCTACTTCAAAGCAGATTTAACAGAAAAGACATATTAACCAAATGCAATCCACTTCACATGATTATCTCTATGCATTTGCTACAATATAGAATCAGGAGTAGACTCTTGAAACTCTTGCATATTGCATTAAACCTTATTCCTTTGGGTTAGGACCACTTTCCATCCTTCATCAGACCACTTACCTTAGAGGTAAGAGATAGTCCTAAATTCTTATATAAATATTCAGGATATCTTAAATGTAAAAGCCCAAGTGCATGCCAATTATCAAACTAGAAACAAGTGCTCTTTCTATCACCAATGTCAATTTTAATCCATGGCTGTGCAAGGCGCTAAGGTGTAACAACTTTCTCCAACACCATGAACAATCAGCATGAATTTGTACTTCCCATTACTTCCCTTTCAGCATCATAGAGTTTATTCGTCTAACCCATGAAAGATTTTTTTTTACACATAGATTCTGAACAAGCTTAAGGAACAGACACTTATTCTAGTTGGCTATGTTCTGCACTCCAAGTCCACCTCTCTTTTTTGGTTTGCAAACATCTTTTTACTTTACTTTTGTTGTATAACTAGACAATGGAAATGAGGATAACAGGCTGTCAATCCTTTTAAGTATTGCTTTGGGTAATGTGAAAATCTAGTTCAATAGAGGTAGATACCATTAAGAATAGATAAGATAAGCTGCAACCGACCTCCACAGGTAAGCATTTTTGTTGCCCAACTTTATATCCTTTACTGAATCTTTATAAAACATGTTGGCAATTATTGTAGCTGAGTTTTGTTGAAATAAGAGACAAACCTAAGTATTTAACTGGTAGTTCACCCCTTGGTGTCTCTAATATGTTGCACGGCTACTGTCCTACTTCATCACTCACACTCGCTACATACATGCTACTCTTATGAAGATTAGGCTTCAAACAAGATAAACTTCCAAATTTAGCAATAGTGTCCTTGACCAACAAAAAGAATGCTAAGTAGCTGCTGATATTAACAAATTATCTGCAAATGCAATATCGGATAATTCCAAATTTGAACAATACGAATGAAATCAAATCCTCTCTCACGAATATTCCACTCTAGTAATAAGTGAATAAAGTTGAGCAGGAAAAAAAATGAAAGAGGAAAACAAAGAAAAGAAGAGAACCCCTTAAGAGAAAGCTATATATAAAGAAAACAAAAATTCACCATGAATAGTACTACTACGACGAGGCCAAACAATTTTTAGAACGAGGCTGGCAAATGTGAAAGATTGAAAAATCTCGAATCTTATTATAAAATTTGGACTTTTGATGTAGGTCAATGTTTGTGAATGGAAAAGCAATTCGAGAAATAAGGAAAGAAGAAAGGCAACT